ATACTGTCGTTTCGACTAGCTCAGAAGGAAAGTATAACTTTCAGAAGTGAATTTATATTTCTGAATACCCTGAGGACTGAACCAAAAGTTTCTCTTTAAAACAGAAAAACTTACTTTCCATCCATGTAGCTGCTTTCAACACTGTTCACTACAAAACACATGACTAGCTGAATCATTCGTTAGAATCTAGGCAGGTTTCGACATCTGCACAGAATCCCTTTTCTTTATAATATCAATTCTTATAAGGAACCGCGCTCGATTAAGTCAACCTGATTAATAGCCTTTCACACTTGTGAAACTATTCAGGTTACTGTAACATTATGATGCATGTGATGAAGTTCTAAAATAGATTTGTGAAGTCAGTTTTAGCCGGAACGAACCAGTCGATACATTGATTGGTCACTGAAGAGTATCCTATTTCATGTTCCATCTTAATTGATTTCCTAGATGTATCACACAGTGGAACAGTATAGCTTAACTGGATTACTTTTCGGATACAGTTTATTGTCCATAGACATATCAGAGTATCTCCACAACTATGAGACATTCCTGTTGCATGCAATACGTGTTGATTCGATAAACAAAGATTTGATTATCAATCTCACCCTCCACCCTGCTGTGTTAATTTTCGGAATTTTCACCCTGTTCCATCCTACTGTGTAGTTTTGTGTGTAATTACATGCGCAGCTATGGCTGAGCTTTTTTCTACATTCCTTATCCTACTGGGATCTACCAATTTTGATTTAGGGTTGGAATTCATCATGAACTGATATCAGTTGGAGGAACAGTGAAACCTGGGAGCACTGAACAGCTGTTTTATCCTAGTATGGGACTCCTCAGCAGTGGGCGTCCATGGCTCCACCCCCAGGAATCGAACCCACGACCTTCAGGTTCCATAACTGGCACGTTGCCATCGAGCCACTGGGTCGAAATCGAATGGTCTATGTTTCCTATCTCTGTCAGACGGCAATACATCCTGACCTCCATCCAATGTCGTCGTTGAGTATTTGTCCTCGTTTTCGACTTGGTTGGTTACACTAGTGACGACTTCTCATTGGAACTTCGGTAATCACCTCCCAAAGCAGTCACCAGTGACTGCTACATCAATTCTATCTGCAGGTTTTGTGGAGATTCATTAATTCATTTAGGTTGGAATTCATCATGAACTGACACCAGTTGGAGGAATATTGGAAACCTGAGAGCACTGGAAAACTGTTTCGTTCTAGTGTAGAACTGTGCACCACTGAAGATTCCCACGCTAGAACGAAACAGCTGTCCAGTGCTCCCAGGGTTCCAATGTTCCTCCAACTGATATCAGTCTATGATGAATTCCAACTCGAAGTCAACTAATAAATCTACACAAAACCTTCAGATAGAACTTATCAATTAATTTTCGGAGGGTAAGTGTTAGGGAATGAGATGTTCTTAATGTATCTGGTTTCTTGTCTTAGATTTTCTATTTTACTGGCAAGTTTCTTGGCCTTACTACTGAGACATTCTACAAAGCCACTTATGCCCTAAGCGTAATCCAGTAAATAATACTATTCCAATGGGGGATACATCTAATAAATCAACTAAAGTAGAATGACATACTAACACAGTGCCCAAGTCCTACTATTATATCAGTTTCATATTGTCTAGCCCTGAATGCTCGATACATTCTATCGGTCGTATTGTGATGTGGCCGCCAAGCTTGAAAACTCCAATTTGGTATACATCAACAGATATTAGTTGGTTGGAGGCAGTCGACACGGAACCCTGAACCTGCTATTCTTGGTTGTCGCACTTATCAACAAGGTGTATCTGTAACTTCGAGGGAAGTGTTATCCCCTTTGAGGTTCAAACTAACTTAGCGCAATGTTACAGTAAGAGAAGTTAACATTGATCTATATTAGACAGGGGGAAATATGAATCCAAATGTCCTTATAAGATTGTACGCATCACAGACTGGTCATTAGAGTCTCCAGCTTGTCACTGTTTCCTTATTTGGTTATCTTGACGAAATCTTTTCCTTGTATAGGTATAGTTGTTCTTCAGCAGACTAGAACGGTAGGCATGCAATGGAAAGTGATTCAATCATACTAGATGATGACATATTTCATAGATAACTGGAAACACCATACAGTGTCGATGAGTACTCTCCATTTGCCGAATCTATGAGATGAGTCTTCAGCTTCGAAATAATCGACGGCATTTCTTTGGCTACCAGGAGTTTGTTTTATACCCGTAACAGAGATGACATACCACTTATTCTGTAAACCTAACGGGTGAACAGAAACTAAAACTTTATCAGTATTCGAACTCAATTTAATGAGAAAAATGAACATATTCAATAATGTTTCTTCTACCTTCATAAAATTACTTGAATCCCAATTATACTGCTGTAACCCGCCTCGTTGGTACACATAGTAAAAGTTAGACTTTCGTAGATGTGCATAAACACTGTGTTCCCATACAATCTACATTAGCTATGAAGCTTATACCAGACCAACGGTTAGAAAGTCATGTCCAAATCAGTGACACTGATTACAAATGGAATATTCTCTACACTGACACTGGGATTGTCATCTGAATTCCTCAAAAACTGTTTCTTTAAATGATGATGTTAAGCTGACAAGCAGTTATTGACTAATGGATCAGGAAACCTGTAAGAAATCAACAAACATCAGTAATAATAAATGGAAAGCGTATAGATTCTAATTGATGCTATGATTAACCAATAATATTCAACACATGAATGGGTGTGATATTAATTGATTATTTTAAAACTGTAAAAATCGATACTTTGACACATTTTAACTGTAACCAGTTGATAAAACTGTTCAAGTGTATCTTATCTCAAGAGCAAGTAGACATTACTTTTCAACTTTATTTCTTTATCTCATTTGGGAGTTTGGTATGGTCGATGACTATCTATGAAAGCGCCTTGCATTATGTAAAAATACACTGGAATGATTCAAGAGTTATACAGTTACTACACATAACGATTCCGTTTCAGTGGGTCGGTCACTCTAATTGACAAATTATGCTAACTAGTTAAAAAACAATCCATGGTAGCATAAAGTTTGTTCAAAGCAAACTTCGAATTGAGGGTAATTTTGTTATTAAGTTTAAGGTCTATGGGACTTTCAGAATTACGCACTCACTCAGGACCTTCAGGTCTCGCGGCGGATGCTTTAGCCATGGAGCCACTGGGTTGCTGTTCCATAACCCACCTTTTCTTACTTCTATCAATTCGCGATACAGTGCTCACTACTGACATACTTCAAGATGGATATCATGAAGTTCTTATGAGGAACCGTGACCTACGCTCACTGAAGATCTAGGTGGACAGTCACGGTATATCGCGAAAGGACCATTAGATTTCTACCCAGTGTCTCGACTGCAACGTTCTTGTCGTGGGACGTGAAGGTCCTGCGTTTGGTTCCTGGTGAGGTCTCGGGTGCACACCACTCAGGAGTCCCATAATGGGTAGAAACAGCTACCCAATACTCAGGGTTGAGTGACAGGAGTTTCATTCCCAGGTAAAATACTGGTCCCCTTGAGATAGCAGATAGGTTTCGCTTATTTGTTCCTCCAGTAAGGAAACTTATGTCAAGCAGGGCCTAATTTCTGGTGATTCTAGCGACACTTCGGGCATCAACACAAAGTTTCCACACGCACGCATATTTAGGCCAGCTAATCTGACTGTTTTAAAGGTTGAGAATGAAGTTTGATGATCGATATCATTAGAAGCAAAATTAAAGCATAGGCATTTTCCTATGGCCCCCGGAAATGTGACAAATTATGGAAGAAATAGAGTAAAATCGTAACTGTCTATCACTACCTTCCCAAAATTACTGGTTTAACTTCAGAAACTGTAGGCCAGCAGGTCGACTAGTGCTAACTGATTTGTGATATTCATAGTTACGATTGAGCAGGTGTAATGTATGAGATACTCAGTGAACGTCAAAAATGATATCCGAAAGACTACGAAATTCATGCCACGTTTGTGACTGAAGGTATTAGTTGAATACCACCTGTTAGTGTTTCCAAATTAGGAGATTACTTATTCTAATCCTCTAACTTTGGTGATAGAAGACGACGACATAGTCGAATCAGAGGTGGCTTGAGTGTTTTCCGTGGTGCATACTGATTGACGGTGCAATAGGTGTCTGACTCCTAAGAAATCACCTGGTTACTATTGTCAACAGAAGTAGACGTTGGATGCTTAAGACAATATTTTTTTTCTGTGCCTAGGAAGAGAAGTTAGTTTTATTCTGATGAGATACCTTTACCTTTCATTGTTTAACAGTTAAAAGGCCACAACTGAAACGAAATTACAAAACCGTAGTAAGAGTAAATATCACTTGTTAATCTACTGATGAAGGAGTTAGTAATACAGTTGTTCGTACTGATACATAGTCTGATCGAAACGGTACACTTTGTTATACCACAAGCTTGAGTAATGTCAATATTTATCAGCCGAGGCAGGCTGACGAACTTAAATTCCTGGAGGTGATAGCTGTCCAACTATATTTCCTAAAGATTCGTATAGTTTATTGTACAGTTTGAGATAGTGACTTTGTCCTATTTGACGAAACTAAAGAAATACAACCGGGTATCAAAGATTCATTGTTAAACGTTTCACTTTCAAGCCAGAAGTCATAGTCAAGTTATCTAGCCAAAACTGGTTCTCAAACCTAGATAATACAGTAATTCAAAGAGGACATTCATGCTTGAGGTTAACGCTTTGGTGTTTCGAAGCTGCTGGTCCTGAGTTCGAGTCTTGGTGGGAGCAACATCACTTACTGGGAGGTAGGTATATCCAGCTGATGAGCCCTAGATAGGATGAAACGGACGTCGTGTATCCAATTGCTAGCCACTATCAATCATTGGTTCATACTATCAATTACAAGTAAACTGCTGATATTTATTTGATCAGATATTGGTTTTTAGTTAATAAATATTCTGCATCCTTTTGATGTTAACTTTACATTCTTTTCTTATTATTACAATAGGTTGGTATTAAAGTGAACTACAAATAATTGATGTTTATTCAGAGTGACGACAATCGGAATGCAAACACTAATATAGATTTGCGTAATAAAGTAACTGTAACACCTTCAATTCCATTTCTTTCTTCATCACCATTATCATCATCGTCAACATCATCATCAATTACCTTGATTGGACAAAATCATAATGGTAGTTTCACTTATAGTGGAATGACAAATTATTCAAAATTTGACAATATCTCATCTGAGCATCCTAATTCAAGTCAAAAGTGGTCACCAGATCATCAATACAATAAATCAATTAATTCAAATAGATATTCATCTAATAAATATATGAGGATTAATCAATATTACAATATGGAAGAGTCGATTACTAATACTATTGCTACTACACCTTCATCTTCTAATGAATCAAAAATTCAAATTTTTAAATCAATCGATAATGATGGTAGTATTAGTAATACAAATCAAATTGGAGGTATTTGTGTAAACAATAATAATTCTATTACTACTAATACTAATAACAGTAATAGTAATAATATTGAAATCGATATTGATCTTTTTCGTTATCCATTAAGAGAAGTAATGAATCAAGATTTAATCGATCTATTACGATCACAAATATCAAAATTATTAGAAGAAAATGAAAAACTTGTTTCAAGAATTGATGATTATCGACAAAAAATAGCATTTATTGAACGAGTAGGTGTAGAATAAAATTTAAAAATGTATTGACTAGATATGGAATGTATTATTTTTGTTCTATTGACTAGGTTAACAGATTTTCTTAAAACAAGCTTTTTTCTAAATAACCTCCATTTTATTATAGTAAATAGTGTAATAGATCATGCATATTTATTTATTGAACAGAATTAAATGCCTTACAAATAATTTGACTAGGCAAATAAAAAGAAATCGATTAAAAAAATACCAAGATGCAATTACTGTTAAGTAAACTGCATATCAGAGTGTTAAATTTACTCTGTTTATAAACAGGTGAATATTGATTAAATTATTTACTGAATTTAATTTTAATTTAAATACTAGAGAAAACTTTCTTCTTCAGAAGACAACTGTAACATTATGAGTTAATTAACTATAGGGGAACTTTCCAAACCTTGAACAAATTCATAGTTGAACCAAACCAGTGATTGATTATTGATGTGTTACTCTTTCTACTTGAAGTGGGAAGCTCAACTAAACAAAATATACATTCATGAACGATATAGAATCTAAGCTGTTTCAGTAAGCCAGGCTCATAATTCAATTACAGTTGAATACAAGAGAAGAGTCTGTTTTAAAAATCAAACTTTTAAATTTGGCCATGACCTAGTTTACATAATTGTTTTTTTGCCTATCTGAGTCTGTTTACTGAGCACACTAGATGGTTGGTTATAAGCAACTGACTGAAGTCTGTGTAGATAAACATGGGCACATAGCGAGTTGGTGTAATTCTCAAAAGAGATGTCAGTTGTATGAACTTTCAACGAAAAAAGGAAGAGGTGGGCATAAAGAAAGCTATCGCCATACCTGGTTCAGCAATTACTGTTTGGTTCTATTTGAGAAATAGTCTTCTTTTGACAAGGTAAATATAGACCCACTCATATCCACCACTTCATTTCTAAAATTCCCTTTCAGATTCCTAGTCACTAGTAAGTACACTTGAGAATGCTACTGAAGTTTAGCAGTTTCTCTAGGTAATAGGATAAGCAACTATTGACACCAGTTATCCCTTGGTATACAGGAATTTACATAGTACCGGGAATTTTAGTATGATGCAGTTTAGTTTTGCATCGTGTCACTAAGGAAACAGATGCATGGTACTGATATTACTCGTTGTTAGTGAGTAATATATTTAATTTTGTCAAAACACTGCATAGGAGAAGAAAGACTCCAATGAACACGTTTGAATTGGACAATATCATTCTCAGAAGCTATTAGATTGTACTACCGGTATCCGGGTGTTTCTATATAAATCTAATGTGGCACTCTATATTGAAATCAATACAATAAATGAAGATCATTTTGACCATCTGAGATAGTTGTGGTTTAGCAAACTGGTATTGACACTGGGTGATGATTGAAGGTAAAATGAAAATTCGGACCGCGACCAGACTCGAACCAGTGGTGCCTGATGCTCTACCAACTGATTTTTACTTCACTCCAATCACTAAGAGTTTTGCCCAACTACCATGTGAAGTCCTGATGCGTTACTATCGCTTGATCAAACTCATACTGGCTACCTAGTCAGGACTTGTCATCTTGGTCCAAATCTAAATGAATTAGAGAAGAGGAGCATGATATTGATTATCATTTTGACTATCTGAGGTAGCCGTGGTTTGGCAGACTAGTATTGATACTGGGTGATGACTAATGGTGAGATGAAAATCTGGACGACTGCCAGATTTGACTAGGCAGCCAGTGTGAGTACAATCAAGCGGTAGTAACGCGTCACGAATTCTAATGGTAGTCTGCCAAAACCCTTGATGATTGAAGTAAACTAAAAATGTTGTCAGCAGTCGAACCTTGTAGCTCAGTTGATAGAGCACCTCAATGGTCGTTGGTTCGAATCCGGCCGCGGTTTAAGATTTTCATTTCACCTTTAACCCAGCATCATTAAATGAAGTGGTTAATTAAATTTGAACGGAATAACGACCAATAACGTCAGTCATGCTACATAAAGCTGACATAGCAACATGCTAGTTACTGGCAATGGTCAAATTGGATCTATAAAATGATTGATTAGTGCGCAGATGAAGTGGTTGAAAAAAATAAATATTCGTCAATCAATAAATTCAAAACCTAAAAGAAAAAAGAGATTTAGTTAGGCTTAAGGATTTACAATGTTAATAAGCAAAAAGGAGTGGAAAAGTTTCTTTTGAATACACAATTTTGACTTCCACTTCCATATTACTTTGGTTTCGGCAATACACAATGGATGTTTACTTATGCTTTTTGGAGGTTTCTTGTAAATTCTATAAACTATATGAAGTGAATATTCAGAATTTGTGTGTGTACCCTCAACTAAGTGTTTTACGATGGAGCTTTTGATTGGTCAAAGTTCCTCTCATCTGAATCATGTAGAAAGTGGGTCGAGTCAATGTTGTGCAGTCCATCTCTGCATATAGCTTAAATACTTAGTTACACACCAGCAGCAGCAGAACACATCCATACACACTAAAGCAGTCAGGAGTAGTAGTTAGTCTTTCGCTAGACAGTTAGTATAAGGGGATCATAGAGCTGTGGTATAAAATGTTCTCTTTTGAGTTTTCATCAATCGATACATCAGAATGTTACCTATTGTATCACCATTGAGTTCTCAATTTAAAGGGAGTTTTTCCGACCAACTCAGTAAAATACATCAGGGTCAAGTTTTGGCACATATTTTTATCAATAATTCCTTCTGGTTATTTAGTTTAGCTGAATGTAACCCCCCACAGATCCCAATTTTTCTTCTGATATCAAACTAACTGGGAAAATTAGTCAGTTGTTCATTTCATGTAGGTTTCTGATAAATTGAACTTTAAAGTGACCTATCCTCACTTCTTGTTACCATTACACAAAGAAATGGTATCGTCCGTCTTTTCTGCCTCTGTGGAAGTGTTTAAATCATTGTATTAGCCAAGCATCGACGTTAGTCGTTTGTATTTGTATCATTTAGCATGTGTAGTTTGTTACTACTTATTACAATTTAGTAGTGTGTTCCAGACTGTTTTTTTGCACATCATCATACCGTTTAGGTAACTTCAGTTTACGTACATGAAAGATGCAACTTTTGTGTTTCATAATAGATCTTATTGTACTAGTTTCTTGGGAAAACCTACTAGTTAGAATGCTATATCTCTCACGCCAACGCTTCTTGCCAAAAGAAAATAACTTCTGTGAAAATGCATCTAAGAATCAATCTGCTTTAACTGATCTTGTAACTTTACGGAGTATTTCATTGCTTTCCATGAAGATCGCTGGATTTTTAGTAGGACTGAGAGTTACCAGGACGTTTTGAAGAAAATAGCTCCCAAAAAACTACGAGTAGCTTATCCAGATGCAACTTTAATCTCTATGGCTATGAGTCATTCAGGCGGCCCTAGGAAATCAATAGACTACGTTGAAAGATTACAGTATACATTATTTGGCATAAAATTAGCATTTTGCACGGGAAACAAAAACCTATTGCAGTAGAGATTATGGGTTACTTCATCAAGTAAATCATAATCACAGAAAAACAAACAGTGTTGCAGTAGTAGTAGTGTGAGTAGTAGTAGTGGTGGTAGTAGTGGTGTGAGTAGTAGCAATAGTAGTAGTAGTGGTAGTGGTGGTAGTAGTAGTAGTGGTGTGAGTAGTAGTAGTATCCGTTATTATCATTATATTGGATAAACTGTAGGATAATATTTCTACCTCTCAGGTTATTCTCCATTCGTGGAGATATTATGCTGACGTCAAGTGGATACATTGGTCGTTTATATCTGACCTTGTTTGAAGCGCGGCAAAATATATTTGAGCTATTCTGTCTTAATCTGTAAACCAGATTAGATGGCTTAAAACCATTGTCAATGGAAGGGAAACAAACAGACCACAAATTTCGTTCAGCTTAGGACGTCTTTCCTCAGTTCATCGGGATAACTTATCACGTTAGATACATCATACTTCTTGTAATATTCAGGACCGTGTTTACCGGTAGAAACCCTGTTGGTACCAACTCAGTACATTAAGGTTTTCTAAGGAGTTTATTTTTATGAAAAGTTTTTGTATATGTATATTGCTAAATTATGTAGACAGGAGCTGACATGACGGCTTCTGATTGTCCATGCCATTTTGATTCAGTAGATTGGATCTGTTCTTGTGTAAAGCAGAAAGTGTATTCAGAATATTTTTTCATAGCTGCATCTGTTTCAAGCACTGAACTACGTTCACTTTAGAGAAGTAATCAGAATTCGTCCCCAAGAATGTATACGTTTAACATTCCTGATAATTACCAATGAATAGCTTTTTCATAGTGTTACATATGACCAATGCAGTATGTTTGCTTATCAGCTGAGAACATACAAGTTCCAAGAGAAATAAAATTGATTGGTGAGACAAAGTAACGGAAGCATAGAAATCGGTAATGACTCTCTTGTTGTTCAAGCTGCAGTGCTAACCAATTTCCATCAGTCAATTTTGAAAAGTACTTGCTAATTTGAGTATGTAATAGTGTTCTGTGTTTTATGCTGTATGGAAAAAGATAATAAGAAAGTTTTGCAGTTGTCAGCACGCAACATTATGACACATCTGCAGCCTCAAGAGGATTCATTCCTTGTCAAAGGCACGTATATACACCATTCATTCGGTTATCGAATTGAAGGTAGTTACTGAACCATTCAGGCGGTGACCGACTTCCTTATTGAAACCCAGCAGACACATCACAGTGTCACACAACAGACATCACCGTCATGCTCTCTCGGTACTCTATCCTGGTCATTTCTCACAAGTCGCGTTTTTACTGTGATCACTGACGTAAGAGATCTGATATCAGGTGTTGGAAATCAAAAAGTCCAAGACTATCACTATCTATTACAGATGGAAGTTTCAAGAGAAGCTACACTTTTTATCGATGTGTACCTAGACATGCTGTTGGTGATTGTGTGTTTGCAATCCTCTTATGGCTCTCCTTCATTTCATAATTGACTTTTCAGGGACTTTTCTGATACTGAGTGAGTTTAAAAAGAGATGGCTAGGATTGCATAAAGCATGGAGAAGGAAACACTTCATAGTTTCATTCCTTCTGATTGCTTTCTTGACAGGAGAATACTTTCTGATGAATCATTAACCTGTAAGTATTGCAAAGGACTGAGTTCGAATACTTAGATGGCTTTTGGATCCAGCACACGGAACAGCCTGATCTACTTAATGGCTAACAGTGGGATCGAGGAAGTGGATATCATCTTATTTAGGACTAGTCAACTGAATGTGCTTGCAAGGTGGTGAGTGATGTTGTCCCCATTGAGACTGAACTCCAGTACCCATCGATAAAAAACCCAAAGCGTCGTTCACTAAACCACCGAGGTACGAGAAACTGCAAAATAATGATTATCTAGACAGTAGCGTGGCATCCGTATAGGAGCCCATCCGCCAACAGAAGTCAAGCAATTCAACCCAATGTAACAATGGGCAATTATAAGTATCAATGAACAGCCTGAATTCTGCCCAGTTCACTTATCGGCATTACTATCACTTGATTCTGTCAATCCATTGCTCTCTAAGCAGTTGGAGTGGGGAAAAAGAGCATTGAACCCCTTCCTTTTCGGTTGGCATCATGCTTTAATTTTCCTTGTTAGGTAGTGTTGTATCACTATGCTGAAATCCACTAATTTTCAGGCTATATTCCCCTCATTTCTGAATATCCTGTTGACTAGTTCATATCTGAAGCTCGAATCAACTTGAACATCGACTCTTTCTTATCTAAGTACCATGTCGTAAGCAATTTTAGCAGAGTAGGAGAAAAGTGGCTAAAAAATCAATGATCAAGCAGCTCTTTATTCAAGGACAATTACATCAACTTTGGGTGTTATAGCTACCGTTGTAAAAAGCTCATATAATTTTATGACATGGAATTTGGACATGATGGAACAGGGCCAAATAGCTATTGTGGAAAAAAGAATATTTTCATCGGCTTTTTGTCCATTATTAGACATTTTGGCAATCATTTTTTTTATCTACGTGACGTTTTTAGATTGTTCTACATACCTAGGCATGTGTTTTTATTGATATATGAGTTACGGCCACACCCTGTGCCAACGATAAGAGAAACAATGCATGAGAAGCATAGCTAAAAGGATGTAATGATTTCTAATCTGAATTTCACGTTTAAAACGAAACTCTGGAAGCCGTTTCTACTTTTCTCCTTTTCGAAGTGATACAAATTTAAGATGGAGATTGGCTTGAAAGCCATTGAAATCATTGGATAGGTAGTGTGTCCTCCTTTTCAACTCACCACTGCATACACATGACTCCATAAAACATTCAGTCTAAGCACGTTTGGTTTCATACATTGTCAGTAATCATTCAGCCATTGGGTCAGTGTCTACTGGTCCACTTTCCCCACTTTCGACTAATCCATGATTCAGCTCTACTGTCTTCAAATAGCCTGACTGGATATCCGTCATCATTCCCAACGTGCTTGACCCACACAACTCATATTCTGTAAACTTGCACTACAGGTTGTTGATTACGAATAGGTAGAATATGTGTCCTGTTATTAGTTTGACTAGTAAATTGCTAGGCGATAATTTAATACCATAGGAAACTATTAAACTAGTTTCATAAAGCGTGATTTATTTCTCACAGGGGAGTTGAATTCCAGATCAGCAATATCATGAGTAGCTCGATGATATTCAACCCTAATTTATACAATACTCGGTCAGTCTACTTCGATTCTTCTTTGTCGAAGTGATCAGTAATGGCCTACTGTCAACCTCAAAGCTTCTACAAGCTCCCGTCAGTATACTAAGTGAAAGGTTGAAAATGTTTTGTTTACGCTAAATGTCATTCGACACTGTGGTTTACTTTTTGGCTTAAGTATAGGTCATCCAGTCATCTGTTTAAGCATGACAAATGGTTGTGGCACATGCAGTCTCTGAGCAAGGTATTGGTGATGTCATTGGTAAATATGCAGAATGGTCATCTGTTGTTCGCATCTTTCTGGTTCACCTAATACCTCTAAGGTGTCTGCATTCAGTTGATGTTTCAACCTGTTTATATTACTGATTTAGTTGAACTATTCTTCTTATGAGGATTTTTTATAATTCTCCTAACGGAAGAAGGCCAAGTAGCTCCGGGTCACGCTAACAGCGGCTAGATTCTTCTTGTATAATAAGAGCCTGAGGAAGAAGTCGCAGTACTGGCTAATTAAAGAATATTGACCGACAGATCCTTGTCCGTTGGTACAGTAGTTCCAGTGATACCAGTGGAATCTTAAGATTCTCTGCGGATTATAAAATAAGATGAAGTAGTCGAACTGTGTTTTCTGATATGCATTACACTCTTCAGGCCCACACTCTGAACTCATTGGAACTATTCTCATGGTCACCGTAGTAGGTATTGAATATCGTTCACGATATGTTGATAACTGGGTACTGTGTAACTTCCAAAATTTCACTCAAAAAGGATTCTGTGCTCCATTGAATGCGCAAAAGTTCTTAGTGATCAGTAATATCAAGGCTTGAGTTACTCTTACATTTTTATCTTTACTCAACAGATTTGTAAGGTAAAGAATGGAGACTGGAAAGGTTTTCTTTAAATCTGGTGTCGGTACTAATCAATATTGCAGGCAGTTGTACTACGCTTACTTTCTTTTTGTCATTAGCTTAGCTTAGAGTTGGATCAATTTTAAGATCCTGTTCCGACTTTTATGAGTTCGGATTTCAGGACGAACATGATGTTTCTAGAGATTTCACTGATAGATTTGGCTCAACAGAAGAAAAGAAAACCATGTCACCAATGACCATCCAGTAACTGATTAGTGAATTACTAGACCAAAGAGATAGTATATATAACCTAAATACCATAACTTCACTTTGAGTCCGTAGTTGGACAAATTCATGAGGACTTTCGCCTCACCTGTTTGTTTTTCATTTCAGGAGAAACGGGAAGCTGCAGCTGATCCATCCAATGAAGTTTTAACACTACAAACTGAATTGGGAGAAGCGCGTATGCGAGAGGCGGAACTGACTATAGCATTTGAAGAACTGCAGCATCGTATAACAGCTATTGATCGTCTTATAGAGACTGTAAGTTCGTCTTTTATAGTATGATAACTGTCTTCTACCATAACATCTTACTTTAACGTTTTGTTGGTTAGTTTTAACACATACTGACTAAACTAATCACTCTACGTGTTTGGTAACTGAAACTTCTAGGTGGAAAATCCTGGTTTAGGCAATCATTGGTTTAGTAAGGCTAGAGACTGCGAAAAAAATGGTTGTTGCCGTTATCCGTTCATTCTTTGAATCACTTTTATCTGGGCAACTAGTACTTCTGGTTACTTTGAGTGACATCCAACAACTTACGCTCGTTAGTAACTTATACGGTTGGTGGAAGTTTGTTTAAAATGGATTTAGAAACTTGAAATATCTTCTCGTTACTTTAATGGAGTCAGACATTTGTAATTTATGGATGGAAGGAAAAGCTGCCTCTCAGTAGAACAAAACAAACAAACTCAGGAAGCGACAGCTTATTTACATAGCCAAATGTGACACTAAAAGAAGTTCAAAGGAGCAGAAAAGATTGTTCATTCGGAAATTATAATCGATATTGTTGAAAACATCAAGCCTTACAATTAAGTCACATTTACAGCTATTCTTCTTGTACAGCATCCCAGTAGGCAGTATTATTTTCCACTTCATTTCTAGCCTACATTGTGTTTTTTACCCTCTCGAGTCTTTATCAGCTGGTCGTCATCGCTTCTTGTGTTTACCGATATATACTGCTGGCATACAATCTTATCAGTAGTGTGTTCCATGGTATTGAGTTAGACGTAATGTGAAAGGACAAGTTATAGCTGAAAGTCAGATGACTACCCACTGAGTTAAATGCCTGTCTATGTGGTTTCCAGTCCACTGTACTCTGACTTCCGTTAAGATGATCGTCACAAAATTACTCCTTTTCTTTATCGAACCGGTTTTTGGTCTACTTTTCGAGATTGTTGTGTCATCCTAAGTGTTGGGTGTTCTCTGAGCTCTAACGTTTGTTCTTAGAAGTGTTTATCACTGGCCTAGACGACTCCATCAGCATTTGCTTTAAAAAGAAGTCAAAGAGTTACAAGGTGTCTGTTTAATATTTAAAAAGTCTGAAAAAATATTTACTTTACAAGCGAAAAATTCATATATTTCCAAAATTTGTTAGTCTTTTCGCTGAACACTCACAAAATTCGCTCATCGTCTGAAGAAATAACCGAATAAATCGTGAAGGAACTTCATGGGACATGTAGCTGACACTGTTGCACACATTTGAAGCGCTGCCTAACATATAAAATCCTAATCAGTATTAAGTCTCATAGCTACAGATGGCTTATTGACGATTTTGATAACTGTTTAACATAGCAAGGAAGCGCTAACGCTGACAAATTGAATTTTTCTTACTGGAGACATCTCTTGGCGATGGACATTAATCAGTATCGATCACTTGCACTCCCACCCTATTTTTCGCTTTTAGTTTTTTGGTTTACTTAGACGAGTAATCGCTATTTTTGACAGACACATAAGGAGCATACAACCAGCTTATTTCATTTAGAGCAAAAAGCGTGCATGCTGTTCGTTGTAAAATCAACTGTTGGCTGTCAGTAGAAGTCGTTTAAGGCTGGTAATCCTCAGGATGGCTTGTTCTCTGCTATTCATTCCTTATAACACCCAGATCAACTGTGTTTGTTCAATTGCCCCAGACAGACACAAAATCAGTCAAGCGTATTTCTTCAATGCATAGGATTGATCGAACTCCTCTAATCGATATAGTGTTCACTGAATATCCGTTAAACGAAGAAAGTATATAATGAAGTCCACTTAATGTGTGCAAAAAAGGTTAAGATTCAGTCTTACAACCTTTTTGATTCTATTTGGAGGATTGTAGAGGTTTATTAACCGATTTTAGGTTGGAGTTCATGATTCCTGAAGTTCCCATGAGAAGTTGTGATCATTGGGGCAAACGTGGCGACTATGAGGACAATTACTAAACGATGACATTGCGTGATGCTCACGCTATATCGTAAACTGACAGAAGTAGGAGATATGGACCATACTGACCACGGAACCTGAAGGTGGTGGGTTCCTGGCGGGTGGGGTGGGGTCATGAATGCGGACTGCTGGGGAGTCCCATACTAGGACGAAACAGCTGTCCAGTGCTCCCAGATTTCCCAAGGTCCTCCAACTAATATCAGTCTATGGTGAATTCCAACCTAAAAAATGTTGACTGATAAAACGCGACAAGCTCTACATTAAACACTAACAACGAAAGCCATTTAGTTAATTTACTGATGTCTGCCCTTATTGATAATTTTTTCAAATGGTTTAGAATGAACATGTCCAGTATTCTGTATACATGGACACCTTTAATGTCGATTTAATTGGTTTGATAATTAGTCGGTAATATGGACAGCTGTTTGTTGCACCATTAGTACTTTCTTGGTATTGAATCATTCCATTTGTTAAATAATTATAGTGTCATTAAGTGTTATACTGAAGTTTATTGTATGATTTTTCTGTAATGCTAAATGATCGGTGAGAGAAAGTATAGTCATAGGAATATTGGCGATAATGTAGTAGATAAACCATCCAGTCTAATTTCATGTTCTAAAGGGATTCGCTTTACAGCTTTAAGATAAAACATTTTTACCCAATTACGTTTTCTCCATTAACCAGGTAGTCATCATCATATCATAGTGTTATGTTACTCGTTTTGGTTTCATTGTATCCAGCGTCTAACTAGAGACCTCCGTCAGAGATTTTGATACTTTGATGATTCTCTCTTCAAGAATAAATCGGTTAGCTTGGACCGCCACGCAGCAGTATATCAGTTCAAGTAGACACAGTACACAGCAGGACACAAGGTGGAAGAGAACAGAAATAAAATTATGGCAAAGCAAACCAAGTGCATAAGATCAGAAAGAATCTGTTAAATAACAGTCTAAATATAGTTCAACATTTTTGATGTGGTCAATAATGAATAAATCTGTGCATCTATGGTCAATTTCGTTCAATGTCACCAAGAATTTCAGACCACTGACCTAGGAAAAATTGAACACCCAAGTTAGATGTCTCGATATTCCCTTAAACAGCTGAAACCAGGAGTCATCGACTGGTGTCACGTCTTAGTCAGGCTATGCTTATCTATGTTTCAACCTAAAATTACTCCACCTAACATGATGTCTAGTGATAAATGTAGGCTTAAGGTATGTAACACATTCTCCATTGAAACCAACTGACGCAGGTTCGTCGCCTCATCAGCTGGTTTATATCCCTTGTCTATCACTCAACGATTAACCTCAAGACTGCTCATGTCATCATCCAACCATACACGAGTAGTGCTTCCAAAATACACTAATAATCAGTTCAGAGGGAAAATTCACTGTAGTAAACTGTCAATAGTACTCAAAACAGTTCAGTGGTGACGTCTAAAACGACATAGCACAACAAATGGTATTCGAATGTAATAAAAAACGAAGACTTGTCACTGGTTACTGAATAGCGAAATCAGTGTAGAAACTCACAAGTGCATTGGTTCAAGCTACCACACTTCACAGAAGTACAAAAAGAAGAATTGGATAGAAAAGCAGTGAAATCAAAGTAGAAAAAGTAGTGTGAGAGGACACATAACCTGAAGATAAACGTTAGTGTGAATATTCAACCTTTAGGTGTCAGGGAATGAATACATCTCCATCATTGTAACCCACTTTCAGCCATGTCATCAAGATCCCTCAACCATTGATCCCTTTCGTCTTAGGGACTGTAACGAGGCAGTCTACAACTCCTTACACGGTTCAGGTTAACAGTCAAGGAATTCATCGACTCGTACCAGGTCTTGATTTGGCTACACTGAACCTTTTTCTAACCTAATTTAAACACTGGTTACAGAGATATCAAGATAGTAAAAATATCCTCAACATTCTCCGATACATGTCGGACACAGGGAAAGAGGAGAGTGCAGAAAACACAACGTATCTTGGTGGCAATATTTATTCTGCCAAATCTCTTCTTTACTCAATGAGCTACATTCACTACAGTTTTCCTCATGGCATACATTGAAGCTTTCCTAGTGTTAATTCTCATATTCCACGACTTAAATAGGATGTGTGGACGGACGTACGAAAAGAATCTTCTTAGGGGGTAAGCTGGATACTCTTTAAAAAGTATTTGAATCGTCATTTAGATCGTTCCCAACGGTTAACTTCAACTGTGAACCATGAAGATTAAAGCCAGGCGGACAACCTTACTGAATTACTAGACAGCTAGGATATCAAGGTTAGAAAGACTCAATATGTTCCGGTAAACGTAATTAGGTGTTCATGCACCGAGCCATGCCTTTGAAACAAAGACAGGAGTAAAACAAATTTGCCACTATCACCGGTTATCTTCCTGATTGTGTTAAACTGAACTGGAATGGATCATTCAACAAACTGTGAGGAGCGAGAAGATAGACATATGTTTGCTGGATCGATGAAAAGACCCGAGAAGAAGATTTGGATTTCGTCGCCATGATTTATGTCTAATGTCGCACAAGCTTGAAGGCGAAAACTAACAAGCCGGCAGAAGAGGCGACGCACTCAGTATAAAGTGTGACCAGGATTCGGGTTCTCAACACTGATGTCAAGTCACGTCAAGTCAATGCTTCTATGTGATGGCTGAGAAACTTGGTGCATCACGAAAGCATTTCCAACGAACTACAAACATGCATCAAATCAACAGCTGCCGTCTATGCTTTCTCGATACTCAAGATCACTTGGCCAGAAAGAGTAAGCAACCAGGAACTTTGTCCTGATAACGAACGAACCAACAATCTAGCACACAAAATTATGCGTAATAAAGTGGATGTGGATTGCATTGGATTGGGCATACACTGAGAAGACCAGCTAGGGACATCTTGCGCCACACCAGGCCAGGTGAGGCCAGGGGTCGAGTGGCAGCGAAATGGGAAACAACGAGTTGAGCATCCGAGGTGAGGGTGACATAGAGGAAATGGTGTGAGAAGGAAATGAAAGTTTGTGGGCAGTTGTAGAGGCAGGTTACAAAGACTACAGCTT